AGAAAGAAAGAAAGAAAGAAAGAAAGAAAGAAAGAAAGAAAGAAAGAAAGAAAGAAAGAAAGAAAGAAAGAAAGAAAGAAAGAAAGAGAAAAGAAAAGAAAAGGAATACCTTATCTCAAAACAATGTTATTCTTATTCTAGTTGGGCAGTGGTGGCTTTAATCTCAGCATTCAGGAGGCAGAAGCAGGCAGATCTCAGTGAGTTTGAGGCCAGTCTGGTCTACAGACCTAGTTCCAGGACAGCTAGGGCTACACAGAAAAACTTTATATAAAAAAGAAAAACAAACAAACAAAAACCTTTTTTTTCATTCTAAGACCATGGAAGAACATGAACTCTGAAGTTACTATTTTTTGCTGCCATCTTGGCCCAGAGCTTCCAGAGTCCAAACTTGAGACCCTACTTTGGGTAGGACATCAATTCCTATGTAAATCACTTCCTCATACCTTCTGTTTCCTGCCAGGCTCAAAGTCCTTATCTTGTCCACTGTGGAGGAGTGGATGTCCATTTCTCAGGAGCGGTGGACTGCTTCCGGCAGATAGTGAAGAGCCAAGGGGTGCCGGGGCTCTGGAACGGACTGACAGCTAACTTACTGAAGGTGAGAAGGGTGGCCAGGAAAAGTGCAAAGCTACCCAGAGAAACCTTGTCTCAAAAAAAAAGAGAGAGAAAAGAAAAAAGAAAGAAATGAGCAGTGGCAGATCAACTACATGCATATTAATGTAGACCCAGTGCTTGCCCAGGGCATGCCCTTCAGTGGCTCTGACATCCTTCTTCCCCTCCCACACTGGACCAGTTTTCCTTCTTTCTGTATTATTTGATTCCAAAAAGAATCACCGTGTAGTACTGCCCACAGCTATCTTCTTAGTTTACCCTGGTGCAACTCCACTGCAGAAGCACATTTTCTTAATAAATTGATACATGGCTCCAAAGTGTTGAGCACAGTTCAGGGTCACTTCCCTGATCTGTTCATTAAATTGGCTAAAGGGGAAAGATTAAACAGGGAGTGTTACTCCATATACTCCCTAGTGCACACCAATAAAAAAATAAATAAAAATTAGCCAGGCAGAAGTGGCGCACACCTTTAATCCCAGCACTCAGGAGGCAGAGGCAGGCAGATCTCTGTGAGTTCAAGGCCAGCCCGGTCTACAGAGCAAGTTCCAGGACAGCCAGAGCTACACAGGGAAACCCTGTCTCCAAAAAACCAAAATAAATAAATAAATTGATTAATTAATTAAATTAAAATTATTTTTTTCATTTATAAAAAGTTATTTAACATGTAAGCTGGAGAGATAGTTCAGTGTTTGCTGCTCTTCCAGAGAACCTGAGTTCAGTTCCCCACACCCATGCTGAGAAGCTCACAACCACACATAACTCCATTTCCTAGGGATCTAATACCCTCTTATGGCTCCCATGGGTGCACACACACACACACACACACAAATAAATAAATAAATAATGTGAATCTTTAAAAAAAAAAAGAATTTAATGCCATTTTCATTTTCTGTTTAACAGGTAGTTCCATATTTTGGAGTTATGTTTAGTATGTTTGAGTTCTGTAAGAGAATTTTTCTTTATCAAAACGGTTACATCCTGTCCCCGGTGACCTATAAATTGACCCCAGGGGTGGACCAAAGTCTGAAGCCCCAGGAGTTACGGGAATTAAAGAAGTTCTTCAAACCCAGAAAACTGGAATCTAAAAAGCCAACTCTGTAAAGCTGACTGGAACGACGCTGGTGGAAGACGCGCGCAATCACAGATGACTATGGCCTCTTACCTGTGCACGTCAGGAGGAACAATGCATCACCTGGAAACCCCGAATCTTCCCTGTGAATACCTGGGCCTTGAAAAGCTTTTCTGACACTGCTCTGTCACAATGGCACTCCACCAGACTACAAGGAAGCCTAGTAGCAATCAGATGCGCAGTATACCCCAGAAGAAACCTCGGGAAGGAACATTGCCACAACACTTCAGAGCACCTTGTAGCTGAGGTAGCAGGGCAGAAGGCGTGTCACGAGCCCAGCCATGGGAGTGCAAGCAGAGTAGGACAAGTTTTTCTCACTTTGACCTGTGGCTTCATCACACAGACTTCTTAAACTCATACCTTTGTTGGCTTCTGAGAGCACCAACCACCATGTCGGTTAGGCCTTATAAAAAACCCCAAATGAGAACTTTTTGATGTTTCTTTTTCTTTTTTTCTAAATGATCTTGCTACAAAATCTAGACTCCGCTCAGAGTCATGGTCTTCCTGCCTAGACTTCCAGCCAGCTGAGATTATAAGTGTGTACTACAATGCTCATCCTCGGAACCTTCATTCTTCATTGAAAAATCAGGCACCTGGAGCCCGGTGGTGGCGGTGGCGGTGGCGCACGTCTTCTAATCCCTGCACTCAGGAGGCAAAGGCAGGTGGATCTCTGTGAGTTCAAGGCCAGCCTGGGCTATGGGGTGAGTTCCAGGAAAGGTGCAAAGCTACACAGAGAAACTCTGTCTCGAAAAAGAAAGAAAGAAAAAGAAAAACTAGGCACCAGAAGCTTAGAAGCTTCTACTTCAAGAAGGAAGTTTTCCATATGACTTTTTTTTGTTGTTGTTGTTGTTTTCAAGACAGGGTTTCCCTGTGTAGACCTGGCTATCCTGGAACTCACTCTGTAGAGCAGGCTGGCCTCGAACTCACAGAGATCTGCCTGGCTCTGGCTCCTGAGTGCTGGGATTAAAGGCGTGTGCCACCACCACCCCATGACTTCTTAATGATGCACTGATATTCCTGACTCAAGTCATGCACAGTTCCATCGGCCTTAATTATTTGCCTTTTTGACTTGCTTTGTAAGCCTACCTTGAAAATAAATTATTCAGTCATCTTCCACTATTCTCACAAGATTGTCCTAGTTGCCTAGAAAGGATAAATAGAACATACGATACACACACTCCCCAACAAATGGCATGAAATAAAAATCCTTTAGGCTAATCACCCATTGGAGAGGTTTTTGTTTGGTTGGTTGGTTTTGTTTTAATGAACTCAAATGGGGATTCCATGTAAAATTTATACAAATATACTTCTCTAATACTATCATTGTATGCATTTTAAAATGCATTAATATGTAACAAGATGTAGTGGTGCCCATCTGCAATCACAGCCCTTGGGAGGCTAAGGCAAGAAGACCATGAGTTCAAGGCCATCCTTAGCTACATAAATAAGTTCAAGTTCCTCATATACATATTGAAATCTTATCTCAGAAAACAATAGGTAAATAAATAAATATATTTCTGACATAAATTCACATATATTTTCTGTTCCTTCCCTCTACCATATACATGAAAGTTTTCAGAATGTTGAAAGTATTTTATTTATTAAACTTATTTTCTAAAGGAAAAAAAATGGGGCTGGAGAGTTGGCTTAGCAGTTTAGAGCACTTGTTGCAGAGGACCTGGGTTCAATTCCCTGCACCTACCTGCATGGTGGCTCAAAACCATCCGTAACTCCAGTCCCAGGGATCTAATACCCTCTTCTGAACTCAAGAAGCACCAGACATGCACCTGGTGCACATACATACATGCAGAAAAACACCTACATACATAAAATAAGTAAGTCTAAATTTTTTTCCTTAAATTTTTTAAAAGAGAGAAAACTGTCATTTATTCCTAATCAAAGTTATAAAACTATGGTTAAGTTCTCAGACCTTAGTCTGGTTTACATATACAAAATAACTCATTTTTCCAACCCTTGTAGCAGACTGTTTTATAGAGAGTGGTGCTGACATGTGTATCCCGATGTGTTAATGTCTGTGGGGAGGCAATACTGCATCCAGTCAACACTCCATGTTTGTCCATTGTGGTTTTCTTTGAAGCAACAAAACAAAATTTCAGAAAATGCTGAATTCTATGAGCGTAGTTTTTGACAAAAGTTGAAATCTAACCTCAGATTATTTATATCTTAGTACTCTGTGCATTCTTCCACAAATACAAGAGAGATACCACTTTGCACAGAGGTATTTTCTTAGCTGCAGGGCTTGTTGTTGTTTTTATTTGGTTTGATTTGGTTTTTTGAAGAGTTACTTTTAGTTATTTGTGTGTTGGGTACACACACGTATGGGAGTGCAGGCACCTATGGAGGCCAGAGGCATCAGATCCCTTGGATCTAGAGTCACAGGTGGTTATACGCTACTGACATGGTTGTTGGAAACTTCTTCTATAGATCAGTATGTGCTCTTACTAATTAAGCCATCTCTCTAGCCTCACGGAGTTGCAATTTTTTTCAGTAAAATCAAGAATGTGTCTCCTTTTCCTGAAGTTTCAGAACAACTCCTTAAAATTCTAATTCTGTTCCTAAAATGAACTTAGAGCTATTTTTATTTCCTTAGAGGTGGGACAAGATGTTCTGCCTTCCTGACTTCTGGTTACCAGTGTGCACCACACAGGACTAAGAACTTCAGAAGAGGGGGCTGGAGAGATGGCTCAGTGGTTAAGAACACTGAGTGTTCTTCTAGAGGACCTGGGTTCAGTTCCCAATGCCCACGTGCAGCTCACAGGTGTCTGTAATTCCAAGATCTGGAATACACGCAGGCAAAACACCAATGCACATAAAATAAAAATTATAAAAAAAGAACTTCAGAAGAATTATAAAGAAGTGTGGTGAGATACTCCAGGAGTGACTTATGGAATAAACATACCTACATTCATTAATGACTAGGATTACAAAGCAAACACAAGCAAAGCATGACAGCGTAGTATCTCCTCAATCTATGAGTGCTGAGTAAGTGACTAAAAGGCTCAGCACAGGGTATAGGGCCTAGCAATGAGCAGGAGCTCTGAGGTAATGAGTCTTGAATTAAGGTGTAGTCGAAAGTTTTCCTCTGACCCACCTGGTCCCGCAGTCACCCGGACCGAAGTAAACACACAGAGGTTTATATTATTTATAAACTGTATGGCTTAATGGCTCAGGCTTTCTCACTAGCTAGCTCTTTTATCTTAAGTTAACCCATTTCTATTAATCTATGTTTTGCCACATGTTCCATGGCTTTACCGGTCTGCTGGCATGTTGTTCCTTGGACGGCAGGCTGGCATCTCCCCCATTCTGCCTTTCTCTTCCTCTCTCCTTGGATTTCCCACCTGCCTCTAAGCTGCCTTGCCATAGGCCAAAACATCTTTATTTATTAGCCAATGGGAGCAACACATATTCACAACATACAGAAAGACATCCCACAGCATTAAGGTTTAGGTTTTTGGGGTTTTGTTAACAGGGTTTCCTAGAATGCCATTCACTATGTAACCTAGACTGGCCTAGAGCCCACAACTCTTCTACCTCTGTTTCCTAAGTGCTAGAATTATAAGTGTTTAATACTATGTCTAACTTTGAACTGAGTTATTTTTTGTACACTTTCATTTTATTGCTGTTTTATTTTCTTTTGCACAGGAGTTGTTTTTAGACAGGGTTTTACTCTGTAGTCCATTCAGGCAAGAATGAAACTATGTATTCCAGGGTGGCCTCAAACTCATGGCAATCCTCCTGCCATAGACTGCTGACTGCTGGGATTACAGGTCTGGGACCACATGGCCTACTACATTTTGATATTTTAAGGCAGTATTTCACTGTGTATCCCAGGCTGGCTTTGAACTCATAATCATCCTCCCTTACATTCCCAAATGCCAAAATTACAGGTTTCCCCCTCCATACCTGGCTCTGAACTTAGTTTTTAAGGAAGGACTATAATAATTTGAATGGAAATGTCCCCTATTAGGTACATATACTTGAATGCTTGGTTGCCACTGATGGTGCTGATTGGGATGTTACAAAACTGTTAAGGGGAGCAGCCTTGCTGGAGGATGTGCATCACTGGGGGCAGAGTTTGAAAGTGTATAGCCTTACCCCTCTTCCACTCTGATTTCTGCATGTGGTTGAGGATGTTATCTCTCAGCTTCTTGATCTGGCTGCCTACTACCTGCTGCCAGGCCTTCTCTGGAACTATAAGCTGCTTTTGGTCATGGTGTCTATCACAGCAACAAACAAGTAACTAATACAAGGGCATAAGCAGTATCACAGAGATGAAAGCAAGCCAAGAGTACTTGAGACAGGTTGAGAAGACTGGCTTCATGCATTTATTCAGCAACTGCTAGGCACTGTGAATGTGGTGATACAAAAGGCAAATGTGATCACTGTCCTCCTGGAGATCATATTCTAGTGAGCAGAGACATCACTAGACAACTGATCTGAAAGCTAAGGAGTTGGGGTTTGTTTGTTTGTTTGTTGGGTTGGTTGGTTGGTTGGTTTTAGTTTTTCGAGACAGGGTTTCTCTGTGTAGTTTTGGTGCCTGTCCTGGATCTCACTCTGTAGACCAGGCTGGCCCTAAACTCACAGAGATCTGCCTGGCTCTGCCTCCCAAGTGCTGGGATTAAAGGTGTGTGCCACCACTGCCTAGCTAAATTGAGTAGTTTTACATTGTAATGCTGGAAGGGGAATAAGCAGAGTGCTTTCATTAAAGGATTATGTGGGGGAAGGGAAAACCTTTCAATTGGGGAGCCAGGGAAGGTCATTCTGAGAGGTGACATTGGAGATAAGACCTAAGAGACGAGAATGAGCCAAGCACAGAGAGAAGCTGGAAGAACGTCTCCAGCGATGGAAAGAACAGGTGCAAATGTCTGGCTGTCCGAAAACAATTTAGTGAACAGAAAGGAAGGGAATGCAGCCAGAGTGTGTCACAGAGTGAGGTTGATTAGAGAGGCAGATCATTGGCATCTGTTTGATTGCAATACTGGAGATAAAATCCAGTGCCCTGCACATGTCAGGCAGGCCATCTGTCACTGAGCCACAGCCTCTGCTCTAAAAGCCAAATCTTATATGGTCACAGAGGCCACAGCAAGATCTTTTTTTTTTTTTTTTTTGGTTTTTTGGTTTTTTTCGAGACAGGGTTTCCCTGTGTAGCTTTGCACCTTTCCTGGAACTCACTCTGTAGCCCAGGCTGGCCTCGAACTCACAAAGATCTGCCTGCCTCTGCCTCCCGAGTGCTGGGATTAAAGGCGTGTGCCACCACCGCCTGGCCAAGATCTTCAATTTTATTCTAAGTATAATAAGAAGAACGGAAGATTGCAGAAGAAACAACACGATCTGGTTTTCAATTTTAAAATGTAATTCTGGTAGTGTGGAGAGGTTAGAGTAGAGGGATGCACGGTTAGAAATAAGAAGGCCAAGTCAGAGCTGACACCGGAATTATAAGCAAGAAGCGATAGCTTGGTCTAGAATGGTGGCAAGCACAAAAGTAAGTTCAAGGGCCAGGGAAAGGACTCAAAGATTAAAGCCCTGCTACAGGACTGGAGTAGAATTCCCAGCACTCACACTGGGAGGCTCACAACTGCCAGCAACTCCAGCTCCAGAGGGCTCCAACACTTCTAGCTTCCAAGAGCATCTGCACCCACATGCACCTACCCATAAACCCACACAAACAAATTAAAATAATAAAAATAGGTGATGGAGAGATGGGTCAGTGGTTAAGAGCACAGGCTGCTCTTCCAGAGGATCCAGATTCCATTCCCAGCACCCACACAGTGGTTCAAAATTGTTTGAACTCTGTCCCCAGGGAAATCAATGTCCTCTTCTGGCCTATTTAAGCACTGTATGCATGTGGTGTACAGACATATACCCAAGCAAAACACCCATACACATAAAAATAATATTTGTAAAAAGAAAAATAACATTAAGACATACTTTGCAGTTGGACTTAGAGTTTTGGAACACCTGAATGCAGGAATTAAAAGGGAGGAGTTGGGGGTGAGACTTAAGGTTTTGGCTTTTAATTTAACAAATCAGATGATGTCATTTGTTGATATAGGAACAATGGAAGAGGGTCAGAGTTTTGCTAGAGAATGAATTAAAAGTTCTATTGGTAATACGTTAAATTCAAACTTCCCAGAATAAATCCAAGTGAAGAAATAGGTAGTTGGCTAGAGCCTAAATTGTCTAGGGACCTACAATTGCCC